CCAGGTGTAGAAGAAGCAGCTCCGCAGGCTGCAGTCCTGGCCACCTGCTCCTCCCTAATCCCACGGAGGTCAGAGAAGGGGATCGGCAAAGCACCCCTATATTTCCCGTGCCACTCTCTGCTGTGTGCTTATCTCCTCCAGCGCCTTCTCTAAAGGAGGCAAGCACAGCTATGGATTAAGGAAGGATTCTGCATACCTGGATCTCTGGAAATAATGTCATTCAAAAGATACCAATTTCAGTCGCAGGGTGCAGTCAAAAGGGCAGCTCCCTTGTAGCTGGTGACTCTGGGACTTGTTTCATTTTGGTTTTTGCCAAGCACAAAATGATCTCTGGTATCCCATCAGGCAGGCCAATGATGTAATTTCTTATTTGGTTTTAATCTCCATTTATGAAAGGTCAGAAGCAGCTCAACTTTCTGTCCTGTTGTGCAGCACTAATAAATCTGTTGTAACTTAGAGCACCAAGACTCACAGTGTTCCGCAAAATTAGGTTTCTCAGGAAAACTTTGACCTGAGCTCGGCAACTTCCAAGGGCTGGTCCCTGTGACACAAAGGCCCCAGAAGTTGACAAGTGAAGTAAATCTAGTCCTTTCTCTGCATCCCACAGACCCTACAACACCTACATGTCACCCCAGAAAGCCACATCCCTTAAGACTGAAGTGGCCCTTCTGGACATGGGCTCTCACTTGCACCACGGCCACCTCATTCATCACTGTGTCACCAGCACCTGGCAGTGTCAGGACCTCTGAGCGCCGCCCCCCAATCTCCCTCTGGTCTCTTCGGCTTCTGCAAGAGGAGTGTTTTAAAACACTTGGAAATCTGCAGGGAGTATGCTTGCTTCAGAGAGGAGAAACAGGTTCCACTCTCATCCACAGCAGGCGGAGGAAGTTGGTAAGACTGGAAAGGTGGCATAAACCAGAGGTGATGTGATGATGGAGAGACAGTCGCCCATGGGAACTGGCTTTCTCCACGGAAGGACAGGGTGTTCAGGGAGCCAGGGAATGGGGCCAGCCCCCAGTATCTCCAGTCTGAACGGGACTGCCCCACGTGATCTGGTGCATCCTACCAAAGGGGAAGGGAAGTGTTTCTAACCCCAATTTGCATGCACTTATAACAGCAATATTACTTTGCGCCAAATAATTTGCTATGTACATCTCAATTAATCTTCACTGTAACTCTATGTGACCAGTATTGTCACGGGGTTGAATTTAACTATGACCTTTCTTCACCCAGCAACCAGAGAGATCTTCACAAAATATAAATGAAATCATAGCCAGTCCCTACTTTAAACCTAGTAACTTCCCATTTCCCTCCAAAAAGATCCATGTTCCTTGCTATGGTTTTCAATGCAACCTCATCCTACCACCTTTCTCCTCTTTTTACTCAACCCACTCTGGGCAGCTGCTGCTCTACTGCATTTTCTTTTCCTCCACCTTCCACCTCCCTCCAGGTAGCTGGAAAGGTAAATGGAGCTTATACTGCCGCAGCTCTGAATGTGCACTTTTTCTGTAGGGATCGGGGCCAGCTGGGCTCATCAGAGAGTAAGACCCTAGAAGTGGCTTGCTGGGCTGGGAGGAGGCTTGTCCAGAACTGCCAAGGGTGACACAGAAGGCCAGACTGCAGCAGGAAGAGCAAGCCTGGGCAGAACTCTGACCCCCTCCCCTGAATCCCTGCAGGGCAGTCCTCTTAACAATCTTACAGTTGAAAGGTTCGGCACAAGAAGCTAAGATCTAGATGGACTGGGAAACAACATAAAACACAAAAAACCCAGGCTAAATTGTTCCCATGGTCACAGAATTTTTATAGCAAATGAGTATCTGGGCTGGGACTGTAGCTCAGTGGCAGAGTGCTTGCCTAGCATGCGGGAGCCCCTGGACTTGATCCCAGCCCTCTCCCAAAGAAAATACCACTACTTCCTACTGGTTATTTAGTACTTAGGCGCTGGGCCCTTTGCAAGACGACACATACAGTCCGGGGCCAATGACCGCCAGGCTGTTTTGACTATGAAGGGCTGAGGGCAAGGGCCATCTGAACTCCAGAACACTGAGCCTGGGCCCGAGTCCAACCTTGACCACAAGGCTTCCGTGCTCCTGGACTTCAGCTGCTTTGTCACTGAGGTCGCAGCACCTTGCTGTCATGGACCCCGGGGCACAGGTGCTGTATTGACACCACTGCAGATGGCAAATGGTACAATTTTTTTTTTCTTGATAGCCAGTCATGAAACATTCACCAAGATATCACTGGTCCTGAGCGATCTCATTACAGAGATCCTCAGAGAGCAGAAACAGAGCCTGGGCTCTTAACACCTGGAAGAAGAAAAGCACATCCTGAACAAATGTGTTTATGGCTCTCTGAAAGGAGTATTCTAAGTGCTTCAAGTTTTTAGTTCCTGGTTTGTTTTCTAAATAAAGTAAATCATGCCCAACATAAGCTCACCAACTTCTTCCATCTTTAAAAACGTCACTCCCAGTACACACCTGTAATCCCAGCACGCCAGGAAGCTGAGGCAGGAGGATCAGAATTTAAACCCAGCCTGGGAAACAGCAACTTAGCAAAAGCCTGTCTAAAAACTTAAAAAATACAAAGGGCTGAGGATGTAGACAGTAGATCCCCACTACTGCAATCCTGGCGGGTTGGGTATATCACCCATGAATTAAAATTTGTCTCTGATTTTGCTGGCATTCTTTACAACATATACTGACTCTCAAGTACCATCTCTTTTTCTTATATATACACGTATACTTCTGACGTTGTAAGACCCTCCTGATCTTAGCCTGTCCTTCCTTGCAGAGACAAGCTTTTCCAAATGTTCTCCCTTAGCTTCCACTAGCTCCTTATTCAAATGGCACTAAGGTGACAGAGTCCAAGGAACCCAATCAACTGGCATCTCAGCCCTTCCTCCGACCAGTGACGCTTGCTCCTCTGTACCCCCTGGGCAGGGCACAGCCCCACTCCCTATGGTTCTCCTGCCTCTATGCCGGCTCCTTCTCCTTCCTTACTTCTGAAAAGGTATGAAGATCTCCCCAAGTCAGTTGCAAATATTGCTGGGGAGACAGGTGGGGCATGAAAGACACCAACCCTTTACTCTGTGAAGGGTAAAAATGTACTCATGTATTACTTAAATCATTTTGTTGAATTAACTGATCCCCAAGATTTCCATCTGCTCTATAAAACAACTCTTGTCAACACCAACTTTGACCTACAGGGCTTTTGCTACCATGCACATGCCATCTCCCTGTTCTGCTCTGGTCCAGCCAACTCCAAAGAGGTCCCTCTCTACCTGGGCCACACACACACACCCTCCACTCCAGTGTCTGCACCCCAAGGCAGAGCACCACCAGCATGCAAACACACACTGAATCCCTGAGACATCCTAGGCTCTCCCGTAGACACTGCACCTGATCAGTCCTGTTAACCAGTGCTCAAATTTCCCTCAAATCTATTCATCCCCCTTGACCACCGAAGCCACTTCTTTCATTCAGGCCCTCATCTCTCACATGAGTGAGGTTAAACATCTAATTGGTTTCCCTGGATGTAATCTCTTTCCTTCCACACTGTCCCCCAAACTTAACCAGAAAAATCTTACTGAAATAAAGTTGAAATATATCCTTCTCACCAACCGCTTTCCCCAAACCCCTAATCACCATACTAAAAATTGCTACTGGTCATCGCTGTATTGAAGCTAAAATCTCAAAAGAATTCAAAGCTGTTTATGATTTCCGCCCACGATCAGTTCCCACATTCCAGTCATGATGGATGGCCTCAAGTTTCCCAGAAAGTGTCCCATTTTGTCTCACTCGTCAAAGGTCACCTTTGCCCAGCAGCTTTCTTGGAATAGCTCCTTCTTCCCGAAGACGGGGGCATAAGTGCCCTTTCATGTTTTCTATGATACCTCCTTCATCATAGGACTTTTGCAATTATAGATGACTACTATAATGATCAACCTGTCAGTTTGCTACAAGATCCTAAAGGCAAAACGTCTCATTTCTGTACTCAGTGGCTGACACTCAGGGAAGACAATGAATATTCATACACTCTGTCTTGACAGGACCAAAAAAATTAATTCTGGTTCTTACCCAATCCCTTCACTGAATGTTATCCTCCATAATCACCTTGTTAAGTGAATGTCTGGCTTCCTGAATCCCTCCTGGGACAGGAAAATCACTTATTAAACACCATCACCAGCAAGGACTCTTGTGGACACTTCACACAGAACTCACTGGATGGAACTCACAGCTGTGTCTAACCCTGGACACCTGAGAAGACCATAACCCTGCTGTGGCTATGGCTTGGAGCTGCTGACTTCCAAATTATCACAGGTCCAACAAACAACTGGCAGAAGGAACAGAGATGAGCCAACTGCCTGAACAGAATGTCTGAAGAGCCCTGTACCCGGCAGAGAGGAGACACACTGCTGAGGTCAATACTGAGGAGTTAACTGGCACCCACAAGTAGGCACATTCACCCCAACGAGGAAGCAAAGTTCTACAACTGAAACGCCAACTAGATGCAATCTTAGCAGTTCCAGGATCTCCTTAGATACCAAAATCCAAGATGTTCAAGTCTCTTAAGGTGTAGCATTGCAGATAACCTGTATACATCCTCATATATACCTTAAATCACCTCAGGATTACTTACATTACCTAATACAGTGCTATGTAGTTACTGTATTACGTTATTACAGAATGACAAGAAAGGGGGTACATGTTCAGTACAGATGAACTGTTTTTTTTAAATCCATGGTCAGAGAGCCAATAATAAGGATTTAATCTCCTAGAAAACGGCTCTGTAAAACAGTATCATTGGAATATTTTCATACAGCTAATACAGCTGGGATTTTCTCAAGATTCTTCTTAGTCTAGCTGGTGTTTAATCTTCATAATCATCACACTGTCAAAAATCAATGTTTAATCTTTGTAATCATCATGCTGTCAAAATGGGAAACCTACTAATGCCATTTTGATCTAATTCTAGGACAGTCTGAGACAGGAGGAAAAAAATGCCTTAAATTATTTTATTGAAGGAGTTAAGTTACTCAAGTGGATGTAGACAAAGGGAATAAACACAGAGGAAATCAAGTGGGTGGCAGAACTGATCGTACTGAAGGCTCTGCTTAACAAATATTCAGAATCCAGGTCTTCGTATTTCTCCACAGTTCAATTCCTCATGGGTCACCTTCCATTCCAAGGGATATCAACCAACAGTCCTTACATCTTCTCTCAGCCAAGTCATCCAGTGAAAATATAACTTATTTTTCAGATTCCTCTGAAGGATTGAGAAGTCTGTTTCGCATCTCATTCCCACGTTCCCTGCTTCTGGTTCTCTTTTCTATGTACTGGAAGGAAAAAGGGAGAGAAGAGACAGTAGATGTCATCATTTATAATTTAGTTAAACTAAATAAATGTTCTTACTGACAAAATTTTTATTTGACTTTTATTTCATTGAATGTGAGACTGGACACAGTGACCTTAGAGGATATGACCTTATTCAATACAGGATAGCACTTACATCCTAGCCAGTACATAAATAGTTGTTGAATCAATTTCTTCCCAAAGTAAGTATCCAACACATATTTCAGATGGATGAGTTCTACCCCTGTGGCCCCTGAGCTCACAGTCGAGGAAGGGCCTCTAAAGCTCCGCTGAGCATGTCTAGTTACGAGGGCCCCTACCTGGTAAGGTGGCCTGTTTTACTGTTGGTCAGGTCTACTTGTTCCAAAGTTTTCATGCTAAATAAAAAAGTATTTCCTTCTAAACTCTATTTTCCTCTATTTTTTCTTACCTATTGTACTCTTCAAATAACTGATGACAGGTAACCACTCAACATTCTGAACATCACTGGTTCTACACCTGTTCCAGAGAACAGAGCTTGTGTCTTCTAGTATCTTTTAACATCAAAGTCCATTATTAAAAATCATAACTAGATTAAATATAGAACTCCAGACATGGCCTGACAGGCATGGATTAGTGGGCCTAGTTCATATGGTCTAGTCATATATTCTATTTGTATTACTGTTGTCAAGAGTAAACAGCACTCAGGGCCGGGGATTTAGCTCAGTGGTTCCGTCACCTGCCTTGCAAGCACAAGGTCCCAAGTTTGATCCCCACTACCAAAAAAAAAAAAAAAGAGTAAATGTCATTTAGCCAGGCATGGCAGTATATGCCTATAATTCTAGCACTCAGGAAGCTGAAGTAGGAGTATCACTAGCGCCAGACTCGACTACAGTGAGTTCAAGGCCTGCCTAGCTACATAATGAGATCATCTCAAAAAACCCAAAAATTAAAAAGGAGCTGGCGAGGGCCGGGGATTTAGCTCAGCGGTTCAGTGGCCTGCCTTGCAAGTGCAAGGACCCAAGTTCAGTGCCCGGTACCAAAAAAAGGGGGGGTTGGGCGTTGGCAAATGGCGAATGTAGCTCATTCCAAAGGCCCTGGGTTCAATCCCCAGTCCCACAAAAAATAATATAAAAAAGTAAAAGGCTCTCAGGAACCATATTATCCTATTGACCCATAAGGAAATTGTCAACCAACTGAACTTCCTAGGATTTCTTCACCATAAACAATTAACAAATTTGATTCTCTCAAATCCTAAGTTTCTAGAGTCAGTTATGTTCAAATGCAGTTCTTCCCTTGGAGGTTTTCTGTCCAGTCAACAGATTATAAATAACAGAAAATACAGAGCCTGGCACTTAGAAAAAGCACTTAAATTTCCTTGAGCAAATGGTTATTAACTATGTTTAAAACAGAGAAACTTGACTGTAAGTGTTTTGGTATGCATATGTTTACATGCTTACAGTATATACCTACCACTACAGACATTTTAAAGGTGAATGAAAATTTTCCCCTGGGCAGAGGAGAAAAGATTAAAAGTAAAATAGAAAAAACATGAGCATACAGGAAGACCTGAACATTAAAATATTTCAGGAGCCAGAGATATGGACAGAGAGGCCACAGAAACAAAAGATTAGTGAGAGAGCTTACCAAGGGACTTGACTGGAACCATTTCCCCCTTTCCTGTGACTGAGTTACTCCACTCTTCTGCCAGTTACCTCAAACATAAGGAGTAGTGTCAGACAATCTCAGAAGTTTTCTATGTTTAGATGTTGACTGAAAGATTCTACTGTTTTTTTTTTTTACTCTTTTTCCCCCCAGTACCAGAAATTAAACTCAGGGGCTCACACTTGCCAGGCAGGAGTCTACAAACCTTTTTCTTTTTTCTTTTTTTTTTTTCTATCAAAAAATTGGGGAAATTTTTATTTCACTGAGTCAGCAAGGCATTTTGTTGTTTTTTTTTTAAATCTCATTTCCTTACAGAAAGTTTTTAGTTTTTAATGAACTTGTAAACAAAAAAAGCTCCCATTTCAAAATAAAAACAAAATCCCAGATCACATAGATGTTTACAGTGATTACATATCTAAGCAACATACATACATGTTCAGTTGTAAGATGTTAACTAAATTATGACAAATATCTTTTTTCTTAATACCAAGAACACTACAGAGTTAATGCAGAGTCCTAAGGATAATCTAGTAGTTACTAAATTTTTCTTAAGTCTTCAGATGCTGTTATTTCTAGCACAGGTAAGCAGGCAGAGTGTTTCATATGCTCAAACACTGGAATCTTTGGTTGCTACTATATCAGCTGGCTTGCAAACAAGAAGCCAACCATTGAAAGAATGTTTTAAGTGAACAACTTGAAAACCTCAGGGATGGAAAACCCTAAGAATGCACAATTGTGAGCATTTACAACCATCACAGCTGTGGCTGAAGACCATTCATGCCATTCTTCTGAAATGAGATCTCAAAGCAGGATATTTCAAAATAAAAGGTTTTAACAAAAAAAATGGCATATGCATAATTTCTCCACCGATTTGTGTATCAACCATTTAGTTAACTTTTCCACTTCAAAAAAAATGCAATAAAAAATGGGACACCATGTTTCACTATCTCAGTTAATATTCACAGTTATAGCGGCTACAACTCCAGACAAGGCATCAGCAATGATGCCCAGAGCCAATTGATACTGAAATTAAGTTCTTTACACCAAGTAAGTGGTTGTCCACAACCACTGGCTAGTGTACACATGAACTAAAATTTCTAGATTTGGGGAGAAACAAAATGCTGCTCCGATCATCTGCTCTGCTTCTTCTGTTCTTCAATTCATGCTCAGAAGCCTGTGGGGGTTTGGGCCTGCTGACCCTGCCCACTGGAAGAGGCTGCCTGCTGTGCTGCTTTCTGCTTTAACATCGTCCAATCAAATGTGTAGTCATATTGGTGATTCAAGGTCCTGAAAAGGATGCAAAATAGGAGCCTCAGGTACATGTAATCCGGGGCTTCCTCAAAGCGCAGCCCACGGCAATAGTTTAAGTACATGGCAAATTCTGCAGGAAACCCCTTACATAAAACTTCAACAGGAGTGGACATCTTCTTTTCACTAATCCTTTCATAGTTTTGTTTGTTTGTTGCAGCCTTGAGTCCTTGCCATGGCAGGCTGGTTCTGTTAAAATACATCAAAACATAACCTAATGATCCATGTCATCTCAACGACTCTGCTCAATACCAAGATGTGCACTGATGCTAGCATATCTGGCAATGCCAGTGAGGTTTTTATCTTCTCTGTGTGGTATGTGTTGCCTTGTCCTGTGTCTCCGTACTTTTTGGCCAAACCAAAATCAATAAGGAATAACTTACTACAGTGACGCCCAATACCCATTAGGAAGTTATCTGGCTTAATGTCTCTGTGTATAAAAATCTTTGTATGCACATATTCAATTCTAATGATCATCTGGTCAGCTATAACATAAGTACAGTTTTCATTGTGAACCTTCTTGAACAGGTCTTCAAGGCTGGGTCCCAGAAGATCCATGACTAGCACATTATAGTCTTTTTCCTGGGTACCATCCCTACGTGGAGGATACTGACCCCACCTTGAAGAATCTTAGAGTTTGCTCTCTTACAGCAACTGGGGATGCCTGGCCTTCTGAGACTCTAGCTTCACTGCCACTTCCTCGCAGCTGGTGATGTTAATCGCCAGGTAAATGTCCCCGAAGGAGCAAGACCAGATCTTCCACACCAGTTTATATTTCCCTCTAACAATGAATTCAGCCTTGAAGCCGCTGCTGCTCGCCATGCTGGGAGACGAAGATGGAGCCTGGGATCAAGCCCCGACGCCTGAGGGGAGGATGGAGGCCCTGGGGGTCATCCATTGAGCATGGCTATGAAGGAGGGCGCAGGAACTGGAAACCGGAGGCCTTTCCGGGCGTTACAGGGCCCAGAATCCACCAAGGGAAACCCGATCGCAGTCGCTCACATTTTTAATTTTTTTTTTTTTCTTTTTTTCTTCATTTGGCCTGGCCCGCAGTTTGTGAGGCGTTTCTTGCTGTTACTTAGGTTAGGATACTTGTTTCTAGGCAACAGCCGCGGCTTCGTAACAACATAGCGGGCTGGAATAAGGGTGTGGTGAAATCGCTGCCACCACCGCTTTGACTCCAGCCCCTGAAGACCTCTGTCACTCCGCCAAAGCCGCCATCTTGTTACTCTGGCTCCAACCAACATAAAATTTTTCAACGATAGTTTTTCAGACTTTCTCTCTTCTTCATGAAAAGGTTACTTCACTTAGTCCCCTCAACCAAAATCATTCTATCTGTCATACATTAGATTTCCTCACAAGATTACTGGGGGAGGGGTAGGCTGAGGATGTTGCTAGGACCTGCCTAACATGTGCAAGGCCCTGGGATCAAAGCACCAGAACCACAGGGGAAAATCATTGGAGAAAGGGAAGACACAACCAAAATCACTATTCTAGAACATGGAGAGAGATGAGCAAAGGACTTGACAGCCAACTGCCCCAAACAGTCAGGACAGGTAGAGGTTATTTAGGGTAAGTCTTCAAAAGAGCACTGCTGTGTAGCAAGCCAATAAAATAAGTTATACAGCAAATTAAAATAAATTAAAATACATGTTAAGACACCTCCATAGGAAGTCAAGATGGCCCCTTAAAAAAGGGACATACAGTACAAAAGGGATTAATATAGTCATTCAAAAAACTCCACCTAATGATACAAGTAGAATAAAAGGTCAATTAATCATAAAGCCAAACCCAAAGAGGGACAAAAAGGGATGGTACAGAAGTAATATTAGCAATGATTTTAATAAAAAGAATAAGAGTAGCAAAAAGGTTCAGAGAGAGGCTCAAAAAGAAACAGCCAGACCCCTTTTCTGGTTAAAATATTCATGGAATGAAGCACTCAGAGTATCAGAGCACCTGAAGACCGCATTAAGAGGAGAGAGAAAGCAAAGGAGCACGTTCAGAGGATCAGAGGATGAAAGACCAGGCAGAGAAACACTGATAAGCTAGATAGTGAATTAACATAAAACTACCTACAGGACTTAGAAATTCAGAAACTAAACTAGAAACTAAGTCAAGGAGGAAATGTAAAATCTATATTGGAAACAAACACAAAAATAAAGTATCTTCAACATTCTACTAAACAGTCGCTAACAGAGCTCTGGGCTAGCTGAAAAGAAAATTTCATATGAAGTTCTAATCAACAAAGCAATGGCAGAATTATTGAACTACATGGAAGTAAAAAATCTAAACAGAGGTAAAAACTACAACTATAAGCACAGGCAAAGAAAAAAGAAAAGCAAAACAGCTACACTGAGTATAATAGTAGGGGGTTTATTTTTCCATGAGCCAGTTTCCAAAATAACCTGTACATATGAAGGAAAAACATTTTCCAAAAATCATTTTCAATGATATACACATATGCAGACACAAAAGTATCACCTTTAATAAAGAATTCTAAATACTGTCACTCAGAAATTAATTCCAATAAGAAAAAAAAAAATTCCCAGAGTAAAAAATTTACAAAATGAAGAAATACAGGTGCTAAACTTCATATATTTAAATCTGAGACTAACTGAAGTTTAAGAATATGAAAAGTAAAAATTAAAAGAGATTCTTAGCCACTGTATATAGTGTATTTTTAGTTATAAGATATTTTTAAAAGTTCTGGTCATCTGATGTATAAAACAGAAATCAGACTTCTTTCAAAGGTTTTAAATGCTCTCTGTTTGGTCAGTGGTACCTGGAAAAAAGACAATGAACAAGGTCTTCTGGCTATTTGCCCGAGTCCAAGTCATAGCCAGAAGCCAGACTGCCATCCCAAACAAGTCAAACTAGATACCTGCATCTTGGACACAGCAGAAATACAAAACCATTCAAGTGGTAGAAGCTGAAAAATCTAAGAAGGAAATTGAAGCCAGAGTTCTAAGCACCTGCTCATCAGCTAGTCACCAAGTGGCAGAAGTCTGTCTACTAATCAAACATTTGGTTTCTTACATCTTAAAATCCAACCAACTTGAATTCTGCAGCAAAGGAATTTCATCATTTGTGTGCATGGCAAAAGGATAGCAATATTCTAAAACTCTCCTTAGGAGAACCTTTTATTTCTCAATTTTATAGGGGAGGCCACACATTTTAAGTTGATTTTCACTACTGTTCTAAAATTGGGGGAAACTTTAATAATGACAATATATAATATTAAAAAATGTTATGGTTTATGGTTCAACTACTTCTAGTCTTTGACATTTTTCTTACCTCATTCTTCAAGCATTTTCTCATCTCCCGATCAAGATGGTTGCAATGACCAAAAAACTTCAGAATGCTGTGCTAAAAGGAAGAAAAGGGGTAAAATATTTCACCCACCAAAAATAACACACCACTGCCCGACATGGAAATGAGTCTACTGTGTCACTTTGTTAAGAAGCAAATAATAAATGTGTAAATACATATGGGCCAGGAATGTAGCTAAATGGCACAGCACTGGCCTGGCAAACGCAAGGCCCTGAGTTTCTTTCCTGGTCCCGCCAAAAAAGTGTAAATATATAAATAAACAGGTTCATACTGAACCCTTCCTGCAAAGGAGGAATAAATGCTTTCAAGCAGAAACAAAAACACAAAAAGAAACAAAAGGAAAAAGACCTTCCCCTTGATACAGAAGCCTCCTGCCAGATGAAAGGCTCACAGAGAGTGGCACCTGTTTCTTTGAGAACGCCTGAAAACTACAGCATAAGCCATTCTCTGGTGTAGACATGGAGTTGAGCTGCCGTGTGGTTGCTGGGACATGGACAAAGAGCAGACACACTGTCCATGGAAGTTACTTTCAAATGCTTGGTCCCAGAGCCATTTTCTCACTGCGTCCACCCAAAATGGCATCAACATACATCAGACACTAGCTAGGCATTATGCTGCATACCTACAATCCCAGCACTCTGGGAGACTGAGGCACGATTGCAACCTTGATCCCAGCCTAGGCAATTTAATGAGACCCTATCTCAAAATAAAATAAAAAAATAAAAAAGGGCTGGGGACAGAACTCAGTGCAGGGGCCCTGGGTTCAATACCCAGTACACACTGGGGAAAAAACACAAACACACACATACATACTCATAATTAGGTGACTGGTAGAGGCCTCATAAATAAATCACTAGCTTACAACATAAGAAAATCTATATCCTAAGTACAAAGTCCTCTTTGTTAAAAACAAAAATAAAAATCTCCCAGAGTTAAAATTCAATGAGTATTATCATGTCAAAAAGTATAAATACTCTAAAACACAGGTTAAGATAAAGGCTGAAGTTAAGGTCCTGGATTTTAAGAGGGCCATAATTAGGGTTTGCACGTCACAATTTTTAAGGGTGGGTCAGAGAGCACAATGATCTGCTATAAGGACACGTCCTAAATGCTTGTAGTTGTAATAAGCACATCTTTTCCTTCTCTTTTTAATCATGGCTTTCATGGAAACCAGACAACACATAATTAGTAAGCTATGCCTCATGCTATCTTTTTTCCCTGCTTTATTACCACTTTAAAGGCATCGTTCAGGTCCACGCTGAATAAATGCTCAGTTTTTCTGGCAAGCTTTTAAGAGTCTAAGATTTCCCATTTATTGCCTTTTCAGAATAAATATTTCCTGTGTGTCTTTTGTAAACTACTTCCTTGGCAACAAACAGAGACAATGCATTTCACTCCTTCTAGTCAAGGCAAGTAGAAATAAAGGATTAGACTCTCAGAATGTAAAATAATATTTCAATGTATTTATTCATATCGACCATATACATACATCTTATTTTTAAATCCAAGACAAAAACTTGTTTCCTTTCACCTCAATACTAACAAAGTCCAAGTGAGAATTATATTTCAGTGACATTATGTGAAAAAACATCAAACACAAATGTTCCAGTGACACTGGTCCAAAACGCCTGTAGTCTGCGATTCTCTTGTACACCAGGACAGATCCCTCTGGTCTACATCAGCCCCTGGATGTCGGTTTCTAGAGAACCAAACCAACCACACAACTGACTGAACAAGTGAATCAACAGTGAGATGTATGAGAACCTGTTATATGGGGAACAAAGTCCCACCGCCAGGGACACCGCGGGCGGTAGACCCATCCCCTACTTCAGAACCAACTGCCATAAAGTGGTGTGCAGTCTGGGACGCCCAGTGGCTCCCAAGACCTTTCTGGAGACACACAAGGTCAAAATAATTTTCCTGATAATCCAAATTCTTTTTTTTTTTTTTTTTTTTTTT